CCTGATTGGTTTTAGTCAGTCCTAAGAGGATAGAAAAGATCAAATTTGGCTAGGAAAAAAAAAATCAAAGATGACTTTTCTTCAGGTGCTCTACTGTTGTGGGGCGACAGGCACTGCAGAGGTGAAAAAGAAGGAACAATTGATGAAACATGAGTTGCAACACAAGCCCTACCCTTAGGCCCTTCCATGTGGCATCATCACACAGGTTTTATCCTTTGGGGGTCACCAGTTTAAAGCACAGACCTCTCGATGCACATCCTCTACAGAACAGAATGAAATAGGAGTCAAACGATTCATGGCAGAAAGTATGGAAACAAATCTCTAATGATCTAAGTGCTAGAGCCCACTGTAACTGCATAGCCAAAAAGGCATTAAGAGTTGTTAACCTAATCCTATGTAGCTTTTTCTCTGGTAATATCACACCACTAACTAGAGCATACAAAACATTTGCTAGACTTATACTTGAATACTGCTCATCAGTCTGGAACCTGCATTACGTATCTGATATTAACACAGTTGAGAAAGTCCAGAAATATTTCACAAGAAGAGTTCTCCACTCCTCTACTCGCTGCAGAATACCTTATGCCACCAGCCTTGAAATTCTAGATCTAGAAAACCTAGAACTACGCCGCCTCCGGTCCGATCTAAATATAGTATATAAAATTATACATTGCAATGTCCTACTTGTCAATGAACACTTCAGCTTCAACCATTCAAGACAATACAACACAAGAGCACACAATAGATACAAACTCAAGGTAAACCGCACCAAACTTGATTGCAGGAAATACAACTTCAGCAACAGAGTGGTCAATGTCTGGAATACTCTACCTGACTCTGTGGTTTCTTCCCCAAACCCCAAAAACTTTAACCTTAGATTGTCTACTATTGACCTCACCCCTTTCCTAAGAGGTCTGTAGGGGGCATGCATAAGCGCACCAACGTGCCTACCGTCCCTGTCCTATTGTTTCTTTTTATTTTTCTTATATGTATCCATTTCATGTACTCATAACTATGTCCATACTTATACCTGTAGTCTTATAATCACTTGACAAAATAAATAAATAAATAAATCTACAAGTATCAGCTCTTCAAGTGTGTTGAATGTCACAAAATTCCCATTAATCAGAGCCGTTTTGAAAAAATTTGACAGACTGGGGAAAGTGATAGTACCAACAACAACCACAAGCAAATTTCCTACCCTTCCTACTTCCATGAACGGGAGCTCCAAGAAGTGCTTAAAACAAAGCCAATATCCAAATATTACATAAGTAATTTCATGCTTGCAGGAACTCAAGCACAAAAGAAGTAGAACTGGATCTCAGCATTGCATTGGCAAAACTTGCAAACAGGGCAGAAGAAGAACATTGATTAGTCTGCAGAGAATCACATCCTTTGCCTCCTGCTTAGAGCTTCTGGTTGGCCACTGCGCAAAACAGGATCCGAAGGAAAATAGACCTTAGATCTAATTCAGCTTCCACACATCACCTAGTCTTGCCTAAGAGCTCTGCATGTGAATGTACTGATAAGGAGTGAAGGATCTAAATGCTTAAGATTGGCAATGATCTTGAAAATCCAGTTTCAGCCAGGAAGTTCTAGAATGATGCAAATGGGAGGGACAGATCGATGGAATTCCCAATTAAGTTTCAGTGCTATTCCCTATTGACCTGTGGCTGTTGAATGCACATCCTGCCTCATGTTTCTGGGAACAGCAATTGTGTCTCCCTACAAATTAATATTTATATAAAAATAATTCCTACATTACAGGCTCAAAATCTGAACAATAAGTTAAACAATGTCATGCTTAAGTAATTCTCTGAAAGATTTAAACCATGGCAACAAAATTATAAAAATGTGCAAATATGTTACAATATACGTTCTTTGCATCTTATATGCTTCTTAATGTCTTAATCACCAGTGCAAATGGTAAGGATGATTGTAGCTGACAATGAGAAAGGAATCTGATCTGCACCAAAGAAACTATATCAATGCATAGAGAAAGAATGAAGACAGCCTGGAAAGAATCCAGTCCCTGAAATGAAATGATAGGTCCTCTTGTTGGATGATCTTTGGAATAATGTCTTCATGTAGAAGTCTCTGGTTTAATATGACTAACAATCTCTGGGTACTATGCAATTCTTGGCTTTGGAAAAGCTATCCCATTCCTTTCATTCCTGCTTTTAGATATTAACATATGAATGGTTTCTAGTCTTAAGGTTGTTATGCTACTTTCAGAATCAGAAAGACATTTTGACTCCAGATGGTGGTTACTGGGGAACAATAATGACAAACCAGTGTCTGTGGGCTTCTCTGGGTCTTTTGGCTTGTTAGCATAGGAAAATAGGTCACTGATTTTGTAGAAAGACCATTCCTGGTGGCGCAGTGGTTAGAGTGCAGTATTTCAAGCTAAATCTCCCCACAGTCAATCCTGATGGGCTCAGCCTTTCGTTCTTCCGAAGTTGGTAAAATAAGGACCCAGATTGTTGGGGATAATATGCTGACATTGTAAACCACCCAGACAGTGTTGTAAAGCAGTACGGAGCAGTATGTACAGTAAGTCTCAGTGCTATTGCTAATCAGATCTAGCAAGGTTTTTTTTTAAGCATGTGCCTAATTCCTAATAAAAACAAGTTTGGTTACGTATGGCTTTACTATTTGGAGAAGGCCATGCCCCAGTCTTACAAGCACAACCTGCTCTCTTTACTGGTATGTGGGTGCTAGATTTGTTGACGACCAATGATTGTGAGATGAAAGGGATGCCTTTCTAGTGTTCCGTCTATGATCCCAGATGCAAGTTACCTCACCAGTCCTGCTGTTCTCAAGAGTGGAAGGTGCAAACTCAAATGAGCAGCAATTGCTCCCTTAGAAAAATCTTCTACCAATGCCTGAGCTCTTCCTTTTTGAGGGTTTTCTCTGGGATTTCTCATTAGATGCTTGATCTGTTCATTCTATAAAACAAGACCAGGGAGAGATGACCTGATTGCTCTACGCTGTTGTACAGAAACGCTACAGAGGAGGGACTTGTCAATCTTGTAAACACACACAACTTACAAATGCAGCATGCAGGCAAAACTAGAACAATCCAGTCTCAGAAGACAAGGATAATTTCCATTGCAATTACTTACCAACACAAATCATCATCACTGTGTTGGGATAATTAAATGGAGAGATGTAATATCTTTGGACAATTAATGTGATATCCCTAGCTCAATCAAATAAACCACAATAACCTGTTCTAGTCCATGGCACACAAACCCAGATTGTATTCTCCTTGTGACTCTGCAAAAACTAGGTGAAACTTAGCTGACCCAGGAATAGCAAAGTTGATTTTATATAGATTGCAGGCACTACATAAAGATGTACATAAACACTGTTATAAAATTACAAAAATCTGATGAGGGAAGGAAGAATATGATGCTAAGCATTATTGTCACTGAGAAAATGCTAGCAAGACAGAATGTTACTTCTTATTGTTTGTGGCCAAACCAGGAAAGGGCGTTAATCAGATTAAAACAAATCTCAAGAGCAAAATGATCCTTATCACCAGGGTCTCAATTACCGCTCTCTTTGGAACTTTCACTGCCTAATGATTTTTGCACCCATCCAATCACTTGGAATAATTTCCAAACGTGAGAAATGACATACTGGAAAGGCTGCCTTCTTATACTCTGAAGAAAAACCTCACAAGCAATAAGTCACATGAATTTTATGATCCAGTTGAAGATCTTTCCTACAAAACCTGATGTAGGATAGACCTTGCTTTCACATCCCCACCAGTCCTTGGTTTTCCTGCCGCTCACAGTTAACACGGAGGTCTCTGTTGTGGTCCTAAATCTAAGGCTGCCTATACGCCAGATCAGGGGTCTCCAACCTTGGCAACTTTAAGACTTGTGGACTTCAACTTCTGGGAGTTAAAGTCCACAAGTCTTAAAGTTGCCAAGGTTGGAGACCCCTGCGCCAGATGCTTGTTTCCATGAAAATTGACATCACTATTTGTCTTGCACATGGCAAAGGCTGAACTTGGAGCCCAACACTGATCTGTGGTTGCCCGTGTTGTGTATAGGAACTCCCACTGTTTGCAGATAGAAGAAGCCTTGACATTTGAGGACTCATTACAACTCACCTGAAGGGGGAAGGTGGCCCTGCCTTTTCTCTCCAAGAGAACCAAGTGTCAGAAGGCACTGCAGGAGCCACATAGCCAACCTGCTTGCCTTTCAGTCACATTATATAATGTAATAGGAATGCACATTTGCAATAACTCCACGCCACCCCAGCCTGTTTCCACAGAACCACAAGAAGCCGCCCTCTTCCAAGTCAGGCCCTTGAACTCAGGGGGATCAACTCCCGCCTTGATCCACTGAATAGAGATCCCACAGCAAAACTAAGGATGTCTGATTTACCCCGCCTTCTGCCCCGAAGAAGAAAGCAGGGGTTGACACCCAGGAATGGACTCCCCTTAGAGAGCCTGTAAGCTGAATCGAATTCGGAGGCTCCCGGCCGGACCTCCGATCCTTTCCTCCGAAGGGGCCGAGCAGATCCTTAACGCGGAGGTTCTGGATCTCAGGATTCTCGAGAACACGGGAAGGGAAGGCAGGTCCAGGGGCGCCCTCCTTTACGCTCGCCGCTTCTCCGCCGGCCTTCAGCCGCCCGACTGCCCAGAGTCCCTCAGAAAAGGCCCGTCGCGAGCCAGCTGGGCGTCCCCGGCACGTGCCGCGACACTGCTTTGCACCTTGCCGGCCCGCAACTCTTCTCTCTCTCCCGCCTCGCCCCGCGGGCGGCTCTTTGTTCGAGCCAGGCGGGCACCGAAGGGCGAGGAGCGGTTGAGGCGATCGGGCCAGGCCTAGCAGAGCGCAAGGGAGCGAGGCAGCTTCCCTCGCTCGCTCCCGCCGGCCGGCCGCCTCTTGCCCCGCCACCCAACTCCCCTCCCCCCCGAAAAGCCGGCGCCGCCGAGGGCCCTGAAGCCGCTGGAGACGATGCGGCGCCCGGGCGGCCCTTCTTACCAGCTGTCCCTGGAGAAGGAGCGAAGGAAGCGGATGCCCGGCGCAGGGATGGCCCGCATGGCTGCTGTGCGAAAGCCGGGAGAGGCGGAGGAGGCGAAGCAAGAGTTGCCGGCCGGCCGGGTGCTCGCTTGGTTGGCTGGCTGGCTGGCGGTGCGGGACGCGACCGGGCGGGTTCCTCTCGGAGCGGGAGGGGCGCGGTCGGGCCGGCTCTTTTGCTGCGGCGGCTGGCGCTGTTTCGGGCTGAATCCCGGCTGGCATTTAAATGCCCTGCTGGAGGCCAGCCGACGGGCACCCGCCGGTGATTCAAGGCCGCTTCCCCGCCCCGGCGCGGGCAGGGCCAGGCCGAGAAGGGGAGCTGCCCGCGTGGGCCGCCCCTCCCCTCCCCTCCCCTGCCCGAGTCAACGCTTCCAGATGGGCAGCCCGGCCGCCGCCGCCGCCGCCGGCAAAGTGCCCTCTGGAGCTGGCGTTGGGCTTCCGTGGCATCGACCTCGCCCAAGGCTCAAAAACCAAGGCTCGGAGAAGCCGTTGCCTTCTGCCCGCGGAGCCTGGTACCGTTTGGCTCCGGGAGGGCTGGGGGGTCGCCAGCAACGCTTGGTTTGAGCAAAGCTTTTGAAGGTGGGGGTTATCAGGGACTTTTCTTTATTTTTATTTATTTATTTATTTATTTGATTTGCCAATTGTTTACAAGATAATAAGTATAAGTGTATACATAGTTGTGAATACATGAAATGGGTACATATAAGAAAAATAAAAGAAGAATAAGAGAAACAATAGGACAGGGACGGTAGGCACGTTGGTGCGCTTATGCACGCCCAGCCCCACGAAGCCCAGCGGAACCAACCTCCAAAGCCCATGAAAAACGTGCATAAACGGTCGTTTCTTAAGTCATCATTTGGGCCGCCGAGTCGACTCTTTGAGGCAGGATTGAAACGTGGACAAAGAAAGAGAAACCTCGACAAAGTCACTTTCAAGGCCAATGATCTTAGCTCCCAACCGACTGGAGGTAGTTGGGAGAAGAGATCTTGGGGGACCAAACTCATCCAATGAACTTCCTTAGTTGGGGGTAGATTGGGACCTGGGTCTTTCTACCCCTCCAGCATCCTGACACTGGCTCTGTTAGATGGTACAGGGAGTCCTCAACTTTCAACAGTTCATTTAGTGATCAACAGCACTGAAAAAAGTGACTTATGACCATTTCCACACTTACGACTGTTGCAGCATTCCCCATGGTCATGTGATTAGACTTTGGACACTTAGCAGCTGACTCATATTTATGACGGTTGCAGTGTCCCAGGGTCATATGATCCCCTTTTGCACGTTTCCCACAAGCAAAGTGGATGGGGAAGCCAGATTCACTTAACAAACGTGTTACTAAGTCAACGCCTGCAGTGATTCACGTAACAAAGGTGGCAAGAAAGTGTCTATGGAGATTATCTGTCATCCACGTCACAGTTGTCTTAAAGGTGCTTTTTCTAGAGGCAACTGGACTTTCCGGTTTTTCATTGAAAACGTTTCACTTCCCATCAGTGGTGGGATTCAAAAAAAATTACTACCAGCTACATGGGTGTGGCTTGGTGAACATTGGTTGGTGGGCGTGGCAGGGGAAGGATACTGCAAAATCCCATTCCCTCCCCACCCTACTAACCTGCTTTCCAGCTCCGTTCTCCTGTACAGGGCAACCAAAGAAGAGCCAGCCAATCAGCTGGGACTCGGGAGGCAGACAATAGAGGGGGGCGGGGCCAGTCAGAGGCAGTATTTGCCGGTTCTCCGAACTACTCAAAATTTCTGCTACCAGTTCTCCAGAACTGGTCAGAACCTGCTAAATACCACCTCTGCTTCCCATCCAAGAAGCTTCTTCAGGTCTGAGCCTCTTGAAAAAACACTTTTGTGGCAAGAAAGGTTGCAAAATGAGGGAAAATTCATTTAACAAATGTCTCACTTAGCAACAAAAATTTTGGGGTCCATTGCGGTCATAAATTAAGGATTACCTGTATCAAACACTAACACAGATGGATTATAGTGATAATCTGTAATTAGATTAATTGATCCTTAATCATCAACCCCACTGTTGGCATCATCTGCAGATGTACCTACATCCCTCTGATGGAAATGAATTTTCAGGCTGTTTCTGTTGAATTTGAATTTATTTCTTTTCCTCCAAAGAATGGTGCTCAAGGCTCCCAGCGCTCAGAATAAAATCCCAGGCCTGCTGAATATGTGATATAGATATTGCATGAAAAACAATGATCTACAGGATGAGTTCAGCGAAAACTGAAAACTGTTTCACTACTTTATTTTCTGTTAGAATTATTTCAATAATTGACCTAAAGGGCTAGTTTTGGGAGAAAATGTAAGTTAAGATAATAGAGAAAATTTTGTGCCATTTCCCCCCCTTAATCCTTTAATTTCTGTTTTAAACTATATCAAGGATCTTATGAGAGTGGAGAATAATAAGCACATGATTAACCTTTCCAGCAACAGAAACTAAAATAGAATCTAAATGGAAAAATGGTGTTTCTTTGGGTAGGACAGCATGTAAAGGAAGAGCATGGAATTTAGTGACAATGGTAAATTTTATTCATTTGATAGAATTTAGAAAAGGAAAAAAATTAAAAAACAACCTACATTTATAGATATTTGGATTTTTCTTGCCCTTCTTTCAGCTTCTGAAATAAAAGAACAGGACAAAATGTAACTAATGAATAATTGCATTAACTTTCTTTGAAGACTTGGTTTTTGTATTTAAATGGAATGTTAATCACACACCCCCAGATTGTATCACAAAAAGGTCATTGACTATTTGTACATTTCATTCCTACCCCCTCAATCTGGGTGGCAGATTAAAAACAATTCCCCCTCCCCTTATTTGGTAGGGTAGCTTTCTCTTCTACTTGTTGTCCTCTGATGTGGTGAGATTAGAACACTCAGAATATCCATCAGATTGGCTACATGGGAATTCTGGTACTGCAACTCCACATCTGATGGACACAAAGTTGGACAAGACTTCACAAGAGTGTTTATGTAAAATAACAATTACTTTAAGAAAAATAAACTTTTCACTCATCCATCTTTCTTTTTTATAAACCATTAATCTTTTTTTAATAAATAAAATACAATGGACCCTTTCATTTAACACAGAAATCAACGTAATTCCAAGAGCTTCCAGTAAACCTTTGTATCCAGTTCATAAGAGATCACATTTTCTTCTCATTTTGATACAATCAGACACCTTGGTCCAAAGTAATTTTGCACCATCTCATGCTCGATCTTTTATTGTTCATACTTTTATAATATATTAGTGGATGATATATTAGATGGTCTTTCAGTGTCCTTTTGCTCTAACAGAAATGGCATTTCATCTCTCTAGATGTGAGTTCCTCATCTCCAGACTAACTTGAAAAATTATCTGGTTGGTTGCCAACTTGAACATTGAGACCTTTGTTTAGAAGACCAGTTGTAAATTTCTCTGCAAAGTAGGGGGTTGATTAATTGCTATGGGGAAACATCCCTCCCCACAGCCTGGTCATAAAAGGCCCTCCCCAAAGAACCCCAGATGGGGTTTTATTTCAGCGCCAGTAGAAGCCATTCGATTCATCCTAGAGACCATTTAAGTCATTTGTGCAACTCATTGTTTTGTATTTTTGAAATTATGTCATTGCATTTTTTTAATTTGGAGAAACAGGGCGGGACCAAATCAGCACCAGTGCCATGTATGCTACAGGAAGGGGTCAGCAAGGTGACTTTTGTGATTTCTGTGGTCGCCCCAAAGCCCCTTGGGTCTTTTGAAACAATTGCTCTGTAATCCTAGAGGACCCTGCGAGATAATATTGAAGGAGTAGGAAATGTATTGGTGACAATGACTTTGCTGCTTCTTTTCTCCACAAGTGAACTTCTATTGAAATTTGGAGAGTTCAGTGATGTGGGGTCTTTGGTGCTCTCTGAGCTTGATGGTTTTCTTGTAGATGTTCCATTCCAAACTAGGCAACATCATCAGTGCCAGAAGAGACAGAGGTTTGCTCTTATTTTGATGTACTAGCAGCTTGTCCTTTCAGTGTTGGTAGGACTGTTCTTGGTGGTTCGTTGATTGGCTCTTTTGAATGGTCTGTAGATGTTGTTTATCTCTATGTGCCTCTGGATGGCTGATTTGTCTGAGTGTCAAACCTCCAGGAATTCTCCTGGTTTTGGAACTTGGCTTGATCTAAGATGCTCACAGTTTCCCAATTGAAAATGTGGTTGAGTCTGTCCTTGTGCTATGAAATTAAAGAGTTTAAGCAGTCAAGGATTTCTGTGATGGGAAGCAAACCTTTAATTCTTGCAACGTCCAGTCTGGACAGTACTAATATATTTTAACTTTTTTGTAGGCTGCTGAATTCCCTAGGAAGAGATATTGCGTACCCTGCTGGAATTCAGTAAATGTGAATACCATCACATATTAAGTATCTCCACAACATACATAGTTTTTTTTCCTGGCTCCATAACTGAACATTTTCATTTTTTTCTAACTTCTTTCACTATCACGTTTTGTTTATAATCCTGATGCACATGCTGTCTTCCATGTCCTAACTTCTTCTCCAACAGCATAGAAGCATTCCATTCAAATCTTGATATTGCTACCTGGAGATAAAAGGAACTGCACTTTATTCTGTTGATAAGCTATCTGCAAATATTGAGTCAGTCCTGCAGAAAGGTGGGAATAAAGGACAGGTTTAATACATCTGACCACCTTGGTGCATTCCTTAGTTTTCCATAGGCTAATCTCATGAGCACTCATCAGAAGTTGAATTGGCAGATTAATTAGCTAAGTTTAATTTGTCCCTCAAACAATTGCTCATGCTTTTGTCATCTCGTGATTGGATTA